TATAGCGTATCCGTAGGGCAAAAGGTCTGGTTAGTCTTAGCGGGAGTCGGCGGAACCCAGTCCCCAGACCGCGCGCGTGGCAAGCGTACCACTTACCATTACACCACCACGAGTCTTAAGTAATCACACAATTACCGCAAGTCGTAATAATACCGCAAGTAAAAACATAGAATCTTAAAAATGCATTGGGAACGCTCCAAAATTGTACTGGCTTATTGATTGCGATGTTGCCTTTACAGTGACATGGGAGGTGGGGGGACAGCCGATGTACAGGTAAGTGTTCTTATCCTTCCCAGACGAACCTAGGTACCACTTAACCGTCCTGATGGGTAAAGGCTTTGTTGGCCTCGGCGGAAGTCGGTCTGGGACTTGATAACCAGAGGAAGCCCGTGGTAGGCGTTCTACATGATATGACACAACATCAGCCTCCTCCCACAGGGGTAGGTACTGAACGAAATGTGGCAACTGGGCTCACCTGAAGCATAATAACAAGAGGATATTCGTGGCATACAAGTGCAGCGACAGCCACATATAGCGGTAAGCATCGAGCAAGTTTACCCCATGGTGGATTACCACGATCCGTACGCTTTCCAAGCTTCTCCTCGTTGATCTTCCGAGCAATATAGAGGTTTTCAGGCTGAAAAGTTACTCGTAAGAAAGGAACCTGTTCAGGATGGAACAGTCAAATTGGTCTACCTTAGAGACCAAGAAGTGCTTCGATGGCTTATCAGCAGCGAATAATAGCCATATAACAAGTATAACTGCTCCAATAATGGCAGACAAGTAGAAAATCGCTGGCCATCCAAATGTTGCTGGGTGTTCACAAAATAATCCGCCAAGCGGTAATATCATAAGAGTTCCTAAACAATAGCGATTTTTGATGCTTATTCACAGTAGCATGACAGTGAGTGGTGCACCAGACGATCAGAAAATACATATTTTGCGTCTCTAACCTGTCCTCACTGTCCATATTACTGAGTAAATGCATCGGAGAATCTAGTACTTACTCTATGAAGAACAGCATTTTAGGCTTATAGTGAGATTCACACATTGCATCCTGCCGTTCTCCCAGGATCCCCGCACCGCTCCTCACTTTTTAATCAATATTCGGTGGTTTTATCAGTTTTTTTTCTCGTTTTCATGGGAGATAAGTGCCCAAAAACTTGCTGATGAGTTTGGAACATGAAGTATGCCAAATTAGACCGGCGCAAACATATGAAACAGCGCAAACAGAGATGCATGACACACCATGTGTGTCACAAGGTGCGAAACGTCTTAAGCGTGATTCGGTATTTTCTGGGTGAGCAGCAAAGAGAAGATGGAGCAGTGTTGCTGACTTCCAGTGAAAAAGGAGATGAGTCGTTATCTAAGGTCAAAATAAATATCGAAAACCCACCTATTTGCCTTCCGCCAGTAACAAAACCCACAGCGAATGGTCGCTCTTTTGGTGGGAACCATCGGGTGATCATCGACGAAGAAGAGGGGAAAAGGAAGCGCATCACCAATACCAGTGATGACCCTGAATATGTCTGTACCTTTCTAGATTTACTTTTTTATGGCAAGTTCAACTGGAAATTATCGCAAGATTTACGGCGCCTCGCACTCCGAACATTAAACTAATTTCCGTGCGAAATTTACACAATGCGGTTTGGCATCCGACACTGGCGATCGTACTGTTAGGGCCTTGGAAAACCGATTCCAAAAGCATGTGGCTCGGCGTGCACCATAGGTTGCTTCTGCCAGGTCTGGTCGGCAGCGTCACCAGCCGAAGACATAATGTTCTGAGGCGTTCAGCAGCCCCCGATCTAAACGATATAGCGTCTGCCAGCGTCCAAAAGCGCTATCAGCGTTCACCGGGCGACAAGCGAGTTATGAGTTGGGGAAGTCGGAGGCTAGCAAGGAGTCGGCCATTTAGACCTGTTGATAACAATTGAGGGATGTGGAAACCGCCCACCGCCAACTGCTGAACAGACCAGAATTATGCCTTAAATATATGGTCTTTAGTTAGCTGTTAAGGTGCAGTTGCTTACGTTTGCAAACGCACGTCCATAAAGCTATTTGCGTACCTCCTTACACCCCATACTCTCTAATTCCGGTTCGTCGTTGTGAGCCGCTGATTGGACGCCGGTTAGGAGCTCGCACAGACGGCACGTTAGACCTATACCTTCCTAGCCTCGAGACGGTGGCGACGGCGTGGACGCTAGCTGAGCTTGATTGGAATGTACATCTCATTCCAGCTGCTTGACGTGCTGACGATGTAACTTAGTTAGGCGTTGCTGGTGGACGACGGTAGACACTAAAGGACGCTGCCGCAAAGTAAAAACGCAGCCATAGTTTGCTAGCGCTCATGCACCTCTGCTAAGCCCCTATGACTTCCGAAATTTGAGGAATAATCACATTTCATATGTTTAGCTGAAAACTCATTTTATTTGATCCGCAATAGCCCATTGGAAAGTCCGCCGCGGTCGGCTACGTTGGTGCCATCTGAAGGGCGTTTGTGCAAAACCGAGACTGCCGCGATGGGTTACGAGAAATCATTGCTAAGCCAAGGAAGGAAGGAGCTGTGATGTAGGCCAGCCAATTTCTCTCCCTAGAGAAAGGTTTTGCGTCATCCTAGCTTCCCACAACCCTAGTCCCCTTGCCCTTTAGACGACTCGTCCCGCAATTCTATCAGGTTCGAGTAAAAACTATTGTAGAAAAGTATTTTTGAAGTTTGTAATGGGATATTCCTTTGAACTGAGCAAACATAGTGACTGGTAATGAACTAGTCAATGATTTTTCTTTTAAGTTGTTTCAAATGAGATTTAAACAAGTTTTCTGCATGGCCAATGTTTCGCCGAGTTCTAAAAGAAGTCACTATAGTACGACCTATCAACCGTAACCCGTTCTGCAAAAGCATCGCTTGTGCAGGATGTTTCTGAGAGATTCTCTCGGACCAGAAGCAGACAAAAGCGAAAAAAACGGAGAGCCTGGCTTCGGTCATGCATCCTGGTACGCGCCACGCATTCAAAATCACTCACAATCGTGAAGTGTCAGAAAGCGGCCTTCCGAACCAGGCCATGTGTGGACCAGCCGATTTCAGTGATTGTTTTTTGCAGACTTACGATGTCGGCAAACGAAAGGCTAAATAGGCTCAGGGGGAATTGTTCATGGCGGATAGCACTAATAACGCGGTGGTCTTTTTGGTCGACGATTCCGCTCCAGAAGTATCGGTGCAAGAATATTTCTTAATTCCTCTTGACTTGGAACTGGTAGGACCTTCTGGTAGACCTGAGAAGTCCGACCAGCCCATGGCAGTCCCTGGAAGACTGAGTAGCCATCCCGTCCCAACCCCTCGCCCTCCACTGTATTGACACCATGACAGTGATGTCAACCTACAGGCGCAAAAACTGTAAGAAAATCGAAAAACAAGTCCAAAGAGTAATTGGACGCAATTTCTCCTCTCAAAATTTTTTAACAAGAGTAAATAGAGAAGCGGATGAGGAGTTTGCCCTTTCGAGATTTAAAACGATGTTTGATGAAATCTAAAGTGTCCCTTCTCAACTACCACTATACGACTGGTTGTTTTTTGAGGACTTAGCAAAAGGTTCACTACATTTTCTCAATAGTGCAAACAATCTGATACCCTTTCTAAATAGACAAGATTTCTTCAAACAACCGATGGGATAACGGCTGCAAAAGTGGCTGTGCAGGGACGGCCCAGACGAGCGTTACAAGGTTTTTCAAGAGCTCTCTTGTACAGGAAAATGCTTGAACCGACACTTGGGAACGTGCACTGATCTCCGTCGCTGGCTCAGGACCAGTCCTTCTGGTCAAATGACTGCCAAAGGTTCTCTTGAAAAAATGAACGCCGAAAAATCTTTATGATTCTGTAGGGTAACGAGTAGCGCTACCACATTTGGAGTCTGTTGGAGGCAGATTCAGAAGGAAAGGTCAAGCATGCAGTTGAGCAAAACTGGCCAGTTGGTACGACCCCTCCCCTTAAAAGCACCCACTACCCAGTAAACACAACCCACCTCCTTCTATTAAATGAAAGAGAATGAAAGAAATTCAAACTTCAGATGCTCATAGCGCGGTGGCTTTTCTTTCAGCTGTGTCGCGTGTCGGCATTGGAGCGCGCTATTTCGCTCGTTATTACCTTAAAGCTTTTCGGAAGGTTGCAGCATTCTTCAGATACACTTTACAGAACTACAGACCCACTCGTATTCTCTGCTGAGCCACTCTCTAGTTGAATGGTGATGAAATAGTCGTGAAAGAGGTCTCACGGCTTCGCATCAAAATTAATGATGAGCAATTTCTGAGTACGCGAAATGTTATCAACGACAATTCCCGCTATCAAGTATTACGTGTAGTAGATGCTCAATCATGAACCAGTGGCTCAGAGTAACTCCCAGTACAGAGAGAAGCGAAAAAATCCCTGAGAACAGCCTGAACAGAGACCTCCCCCCCTTTAGCAGTGGCCAGCGTCATGGACGACTTTGTCGGGAATCGGACAAGCCCAATCAGCAGGATTCGACGTGCAACCATTCCCGGCAAGAGCATAGGAAATCGCCCTACGACGCTCCAGGCAACGCTATGTACACACGCAATTCCGCTTGTAAGCCGTTGTCTTGCAGAGTGAAAGTAATCGTGGTTGCAATGGTTGCAATAATCACGCGTCTCTAGCTTCTTTATCTCGCCGTTTCGAGTGACGAAAGTGGTACTTTCTGCGAATGCGGACAACGATGCCAAATGCACGGAGGCATTTCGCGGACCACTTGATCGCGGGAACTGCCTTTAAATTATAGTACTGCCTCAATTTCACCCGAAATGAGTATATGTAGTATAACAAGTGCTCTCACGAAACTGGGTCGTCCAGTCTACATTAGCACTTCCTTTGCCCCCTGCCCCGCAACCACTTTACAGGTCTTGTTGACTACGGACTCTTGCGGATACGGGTATCTTATTTCAGCTAGCCAAATATGCCCCCGTTGAGAATTCCTCAACTGATGTTTGACCCTGGTTGCAGAGCTCCCCAGATAAAGCAGCTCTATAAGATGAAAAGAATCCATAGGAAATCGAAATCCAAGTGCATAAACCTGCTTATACGCGATGCCGCAGCAAACACTCTCATCCCTGCGATCAGTTCCGGTTGAACAACATGAAAGTGAAACTATAACCAGAAAGTAAATCCCCGTGGCATGCATCTATTGGATTACACGGATCAATCGGAGCAAATTGGCTTTGCTACCAGAAGCCGATCAAGAATTTCGCTTATTGCTTGCAAAGCCATACAACTCTGCGATCGCGCCGCAACCGCACGCGTCTGGTCCCTATGGTCACCAGTGACATGAAGAAATAGGAAACGGTTTGTGTTGCCAAATGTGTTGATGCATTAGCAACTCACTAGAGAGTTTATGCTTGTCTGGGTGTACTTTCCAGTAATACAGGAAACATGAATGAAAGAGAAAAGAAAACCGGTTCAAACATACTTTCTCCTTCTCTGTATTCCCCCAATAACATGCATGTTTTCAACGTTTCACTACAGTACAAGTCATTCATACTTATTTCATAGAAATCATGTTTACCTGAATACGAAAACAAGCCATGGTGAAGTTGGCGCTACTGATGGTATAAGTGAATTTGACAATATTAGTAGAGTAATAGCTACTGATATTGTCCATTTACCATTAATACGATCTGCTTGCCATCCAGCTAATAGCATAAATAACGAGCCAACGTTTTGGGCCGCATAGATCGCACCTGGAAGTTACTTGATAGGCACGTTATCTCCTTTCCAACAAAACAGTGACGTCATCTTACGTCTAAAATTCGTTTTGATGGTCCTCTACGTGGTCTTCTCCGCTCTTCTTGAATTTCCAGGGATGAAAGCCAGGGCAGCGGGACGAAATGACGATTCGTTGCGAGACCAGCTGCCTGTTAGCTATTTGCCAACTCCAGAGTGGATAGGATGGGGTTTAATAGAGGTACTGTCTCCTTCATCACGGTCCTTTTCCAAATTTTTGCTAGATTTCAATCAAAATTTCAAGCGTAAGCCTGGGAAGTAGAGGTGGCATTGGGTGTAGAGGTGGTTGCGATTTTGTTCACGGCGGTTGTCTAACACGCTTAAGAAGATTACCACTTAAACTTCGTGCGAAAACGCCTGGCGCTGGCGCAGGAATACCTCAAGTTACCAAGATTGCAAGAAACTTGTCATTAGGAGTAATTTGACCAGTCAAAAACTAAAATTGACTTGTAGCACTTGTGGCGCGGACACAAGGCGTTTCCGCCCAACCGAAAGTGATATATCTGCAACGAGACATGCTAACCCATGAAAAGGGAACTCTATCCCCTTCGACAGCGCGAAGGATTTCTAAGTACCCTGTTTCAAAAAGTGGTGCAGTAAGGGGTAAATGGTGTCAAAATGGGATCAGTTCTGCTTGGTGGGGGCACAGAATGGCAGCCATCAAAGCATGTACAGGTCTCCTTGCGAAGAACTATCTCTCTCCGCAGCCAAATT